AAGCAAGCGCGACCCGGAGTTGGACCCCGGGAACAAAAAAAAAAAAAAAAAAATTATAAGTTCAGCTTCAGAGATGAGTTTTAGATATATGAAAATGTTCAAGTTGGATAGTATTATATCCACATTTAGAGTTCACCTGAAAAATTAGAAAAACATTATTTAAAAATATATTGCGGTCAACAATAAGTATCAAATGTGAGAAAAGGATTAATATAAGGACTGACAGGTATACTGATTTTAATTATAAAAGTTATTATCTTGACAGTGGAATAATTTCAGTGAGTGAAGATGTACAACAGGTTAGAAATTAATAACCAAAAATTCAAAATTTTCAAAATTGGCTATGAATGGAAAAAAAGAGAAGACAATACAAGATCCAAACTAGCTTTACATTTTAAGATGCAGACATGGAAACTCCTATATATTCCAACAAATGTGGAAAAGAAACTATTAAGAGAAAGGAAGAAGATATATGAGACAGGTCTCATGGAGCACAGATGTGGAGAATGTGAATGAAGCATGCAGAGAGTAGATAATACCTTTTTTATTTACAGAAGAGTTTTTAAAATAATGATCTAGATGCAAAGACCTAGGGAGATGCAGGGCCTATGAAGCCAAAATTTAAAGGCATTCTTATTTTAAGATTTCATGTTTTCCTCAAATATCGTATCCTTGTGAAAGAGAGAAAAGGAAAAGGTGAAAAAACATCCTAAAGACACAATTTTAAATAGCTCCTGTTGGAGAAACAGAAGGGGATGTCCCTATGGACACAGAAGAGTGCTAAGTATCACTCAGAGTACAAAGAAATGTTGAAGACTTCCACTTTTGAGTGAAGTGTAATATATTGTGGCAGGTCACTCTCCTGCTAGAAAACATTAAGAATAATCAGATCTTTTTGATGGTACTAGGGATTGAACCCAGGGTCTTGTGCTTGCTCCTCTGCCACTGAGCTACATTCCTAACCCTTTTAAATTTTCTTTAGTTTGAGACAGACTAAGTTACCTGCGCTGGCCTTGAATTTGCCATCCTTCTGCCTCAGCCTCCGAAGTAGGTGGGATGAGAGGCATGTGCCAATATACATTTGCACTGAGCTATAACCTCAGCCCTTCCCATTTTTTATTTTGAGACAGGGTCACACTAAATTGATAAACTTCCCAGGCTAGATTTGAACTTGGGATCTTCCTATCTCAACCTCCTAGAATGCTGGGATTATAGGTGTGCACCACCAAGCCAACTGTAACTATGAACTTGTTTACAACAAGAAACTGCTAGAATAAAAGACAAACCACCAAGGATTTAACAATCAGTAAAGCCTGGAATAACAAATAGAAATCTTAGAGACTTTAAAGGCATGAATGATTTTCTCTGTATTATACAGCAACACAAGGAGATAGCCAGACTGTCAAAAGCAAGAGTTCTCTTGCCCAACTGCTCTAGGTAGGACTTCCTCTGTGTCCAAGCATAGGAATACCACAGAGTACCTCATAAATACATATAGTTACTATGTTTCTATTAAAAATTTTTTTAAAGCAGAGTTAATGCTCCATCAATGTCAAAGGCTTAGAAGAAAGTGCTGCCTGAAACAGGGGCCAGCCTGAGGCAAAAGGTTGGTTTTCTCTTCAGAGTATTTGCTGAATTTGGACTGAGTAGAGTGAGAAGCTGGAAAGCTAGGTTAGGACCCTTTAAAGGCAGAACTGTATCTTCCACAGTCTCAAGTTCAGAAGATAGAAATCCAAGTTTATAATCAACAGGCTGGAAGGGACACACGAGAAACATAGGCAAACAACACAGAGTAAATATACTAAAATGAGAAATCAAAGTAGGCTAGCATCCATGATTGCATGGAAATCAGTTCTTCATCCTAAGAAGGCAAAGCCTCTCAAGCAAAAGACCCATCTGGACTCTCTCTCTCTTTGTTTTATATATATGAAATGTTCAACACAAAGTTATTTGACATGCCAAGAAAAAACAATGAACAATTGGTTGAGAGAGGAAATAATAAACCTTAGTAGATGATCCAAAGATGATTCAGTTATAGCTAATAAATTTATGGTCTTTAAAATAATTACAGTATGCAAAAAGAGACAATATAGGAAGAAATGAATGATTTCAGAAGAAAGTTCTATGAAATTTATTGTAAAACAAGTTAAAAGAGGAAAAATATGAAAACCTGTCACAATGTGCTATGGTTTGTGCTCACCCAAACTCAGGTTGAACCTTGGGAGGTGGGGCCCAGTTGGAGGTGTTTGGCTCATGGGAATAATGGACCTCATGCATGGATCAATGCCTTCTCATATGAGTTCTCATTCTCAAAGAACAGTATTAATTACTGCCGGGGCAGGTTGCTATATAAAGTGAGTTCAGCTTGCTTGATATTCTCTTGTTTCCTCTCTTGTCATGTGACCCATTATACTTTCCTGCATGAGGCCCTGACCAGAAGCCAAGCTGATGTAGTCACTTTGGGGGAGGGGGTAGGCTTTCTAGCCCTCTGAGCTGTAGTCCCAAATAAACTTCTCTTTATAAATTATTCAGCACTGGGTTTTTGTTGTTGTTGTTGTAGCAGTAAGAAAGGACCAAGCTAGCATGAAATACTTCATGATAAGAACAATGAAGCCGGGCAAGGTGGCACATGCCTGTAATCCCAGTACTTGTGAGGCTGAGGCAGAAGGATCGCTATGAGTTCCAGACCAGCCTACGCTGTATACATAAGTGAGGTCCAGGTCAGTCTCAACTACATAGTAAGACCCTTTCTCAAAAAAAAAAAAGAAAAGAAAAGAAAAACGAGTACTTTCCATTCTAACATCTGTAAAATAGATGTCTCGTCATAATTTCTACTAACATTAACATTGTGAAGATTTTTTTTGACAGCTTCAATAAAGCAAGAAGACGGGAAGTTTCAAGGAAAACATATACAACATACAGTATGACACAATCACTGCACTTCTACCCCAAAGAAATAAAAGCATATGTCTATGTATATAGCTATACATGAATATTTACAGCAGCATTATTTTATAATAGCTAAAAAGCTGGGAACACTCCAAGTGTAAAAAACATGAATAGATTAACAAACTGAAGTATATGGAATACCACTTAGCAATAAAAAGAAAGAACTATGGATACATGCCAACATAGTTGAATCTAAAAAGAAGTATTCTGAAAGAAAGTAAACAAAAAATTGCCATATACTATATTAGTCCATTCATATAAATTACAGAAAATATAACTTATCTATGGTGAAGAAAACATCAGTGACTGCCTAGAAATGAGATGAAGAAGAAACATATTTAAAAGAACATAAAGAAGAATTGAGGTGATGCATGTATTATTAACTTGTCTGATACGGTAGTTTCATGTGTAAATATACATGTGCGGACTACTCAAACTTCTCAACCTAATGAGAGGTTATCTAAAAAATACTTTCACCTAACTTTATCTTTAATAGTAAAAATATATTTTCTCCCAAAGATAAAACAGTAAGCATTTCTATTCATTATTGTACTGAAGGTTCTATCCATGTAATAGAGATGGGGAATAAAAAAGGAAGGGCACAAAATAAAAATCAGAAGAAGCAAAATTCTATTTGCAGATTCCATGACTAGCTGACAAGAACAGCCTCCAAAATGATGAGAACTAAACAGTAAATTTAATTCTTACCAGCAAGGTGGTAAGAAACAAAGCAAATTTAAAAAAATATTCTATTTATGTATATCAGTAAAAATATTTGGGAAAAAAAAAGGGTTAGGTGGCGCATGCCTGTAATCCCAGCACTCGGGAGACTGAGGCAGAAGGATCGCTGTGAGTTCAAGACCAGCCTGGGCTACACAGTGAGTTCCAGGTCAGTCTCAACTACATAGTGAGACCCTGTCTCAAAAAAACAAAAAAACAAAAAAAATTGGAAATGAAATTAAATGTTATCTCTATAAACATTGAATACTTGAGAAGAAATTCATCAAAAGATGTGTAAAACAATGAAAACTACAAACACTGTTGAGCAAAATAGACTGAGGCAGGGATCGCTGTGAGTTCAAGACCAGCCTGGGCTACACAGTGAGTTCCAGGTCAGTCTCAACTACATAGTGAGACCCTGTCTCAAAAAAACAAAAAAACAAAAAAAATTGGAAATGAAATTAAATGTTATCTCTATAAACATTGAATACTTGAGAAGAAATTCATCAAAAGATGTGTAAAACAATGAAAACTACAAACACTGTTGAGCAAAATCAAAGATCTAAATTGGATATATACATATTTATGAATTGAAATACTATTGTTAACATGCTATTTTCCCCATATTGATACATAACTCAATCATAAATTCTGTAAGCTTTTTTGAGTGAATGATAAAAACATTCTAAAATATATGCAGACATTCAAAAGCCCTACACTTCCTGAATAACCTTGGAATACTTATAGGAGTGGACTGTAAGAATAACCATAAAAGTTCCATAATCAAAACTATGGTACTGGCATAGAAAAGAACAAATAGATCAAAATAACAGATCAGGGCACCAAGAAAAAGGCCAACTCTTATACAGCCATATGATTTTCAATAAAGGAACTAAAAAAAATCCAATGGAGAAAGGAAAGCTAGTCCAGCAAATAATCTTGGAATAACTGTATAGCCATATAAAAAAGAAATTCAATTACTGCATAATCCCATAAACATTCATTTGATAGATCATATTAATACAAATAATAAAACCTTAAAGTTTGTATACAAAACAAGAAGAACCTCTCTGTGATGTAGAATAGAAATAGGAAAAGATTTCTTAGGCTATGGAAAATAATAATCATAAAGTATGATCAAGTAGGCTTCAAATTTAAAAATCTGTGTTCACCAAAGACACCATTAAAAAAATAAACAAGATACAGACTAGGAGAAAATATGAAACCTAAAAGGACTGATATCCAGGATACATAAGAACTCCTAGTTCTCAATAATAAAAAGACAGTTCAATCAATAAAATTGAAAAATGTTACTTTACAAAGGAAGATATGTGAATGTCCAATAAGCACACAGGAAGTGCTCAATGTCACTGGTTATCAGGAAAATGCAGATTAAAAACCATAATGAGATACCTCTACATGTCCACTGAAATAATTAAAATGTCTTAATATCTGAATTTGTAATGATACCTATCTTCCAAATTATGATTTGTCCAGTAGTGTCATACAATTCTACTGACAGAGGTTGAGAAAATAGATGTTTGGATTTAATCAAGAAAATGAGATGGAAATTCAAGAGCCTTAAAAATGTCAACAAGACAGTGGTCAGACTGATCATGGGTTTTAGATTAAATAAGAAAATAAGTACAGGAGGGAACAAGGACATTAGAGGAAAATGGAGACAGGGAATTTGATGAATTTATAAATACTAGCATCTGCAAATGTTGATTTTTGTTTTTATTAGTCTAGTTCTTATCCCAGAGAAGATGCAATTTCTATTCCATATAATAATCAAGAGAGCATTATACAAAAGTTTTAGTACCTTCAACACTGTACATTTGTACTTTTTCCTCAGGCACAGTGACTGCTTCCCACTGATGATCCTTAAATTTAAAAACAGATTTTGAACATTAGTATTTTATTCCTGATTTGAAGTTCTTTAAACATCAATTTTTAAGCTATACAAGCTAAAGTTATTTTTAGAAACAGCACTAAGTAAAAAGTTTCTATATTTCTTGCTCCACCAAGTGACTACATATTAAAAATAAATGTAATCTAACTGGTTCACTCTTAAAAGAAATGATGGTACTAATTTTCATTTCTTATTCGTAATCATAAAAAGTATACAGTAATACCCTTTTCTAGCAATATTTCTACTAATATTCCTTTCTTTTTGCTTTGTTTTTGTACCAGGAATCTAACTGGGGTCCTTGCACTTACTTACTCTTCCTTTCAAATACTGTAAAGCACTCTCACTCCTCAGTTCCCGCTTATACTACTTGTCACAGGTCCTGAAATTGTAGCACTCATCAATGATTAAACTTAAGCATCAAATATTGAATGTACATGATGAATAGTAGTCTAAAATGTTTGCCCTTTCAACTATTTTCACTGAAATTTGTATAAATGATTACAATGATACTGAATTCAAAGAGTTACAGGTAGAAATTAGATACCAGTCATGGAAAATGAGACCCTAAATCCTTCTATTTTTATTGTGAAGAAAAATATAACCAATCTTTTATTTTAGGACAATTCATTCTATGCAAATTCCTTTAAATCCTTAATCTCTTTACTAATCCCCTCCACTTTTTGGCCTTGTTGAAAGCATTCATATCCTGAGGGCATCACTATCTTTCTAGCTTTCCCCAATTAAGATGCTAATTTTGCCACACCTCAAAACCTCAGTGTGGAGAGAAAAGTGCTGGCATTCTCATCTCTCTCCAAAGTTTTGAGCAGCCTCACATCTCTGTGTAAAAACAAACATACAAAAATTTTTCTGCTTTGAGAGACATGCCAAGTGTCATAGTCTACACTATCATTATATCTTCCAACTTCAGAATGACTCTTCTTCATCATATACTGAAGTACCTTGTCAGCTGTTTCAGGTTTTGTTTAATATTACGGGCACTTTAAAACAAAAAATTTTAGGACTAGAAATCATAATATAAAATCCCCAAATATACTCTTATCCTATATCATCCATATTTTCATGGTTATGTATTCAATTTTCCCTCCATTATTTTGTTTTTTCTTGCCCTTGGTTTTTTTCTTAAGTATACCCTTTACCTCACATCTCCTCTACCTCTATCTACTACCCTGCTCTATTTCCCTTAACTTGACTTCTTTACTTCTCAACAAAGATTTCAACTTTTCAGGATACCTATACTTTCATTGTTTAACTGACCCTACTCTTTCACGTGTCACCAGTTTTAACATGCTAGAAATATTTAATGTTTTCTTAAAAAAAAAAAAAACTCCTTTGCCTTGACTCATATAATACGATACACCCTCATTTCACTTTAGCTTATTCTTCAGGATATCCTTCTGGCTAGAGGTTCTTTTACCTACATTACAGAAAAACACATTTTTGTAGTTTCATAAGGGCATTCATTAAATCCCATGGATTATATTATCATCTGTACATAAATAGTTTCTACACTTCTACTTGTGGCTCAGTTCTTCTAGCTGAGTTTGAAGCCAATATATCCAACTGCCTACCAGATATCTTCAGCTAAATAGTCCAAAAATGTCTCCAACTAACACTTCAAGCTAACCTCATCCTTCCCCTATAAAATGTATCCTTCTGTGACAGCATCTCTACCCATCTAGTTACCTAAGTTTTATTAATCCTTTTTTTTACTACGAACCAGTCATCAACTTGCTCAATTCTACCTCCTTTCCATTTTTTTGCAATTCATTCATTTCATTTATCCCAACTGTAGTCACTGTGATTTCTCATGTGTATTATTACAAAAGCTTCCCATGCCTATAGTCTTGTCTCTCTTAAATTTATCCCCAGAGCCAGAGTATCTCTTACATGAATGTGTTCCCCAGGGCCTAGTATGTTTTTGACACCTAGTTCTTAATATTCATTGATGTTACCTCTTATACTCATTCACTGGCTCTACACTGCCTTTTTTCCAATGTCCCATGCATTATATGCACTAAACATGCATCTTTTGATTTATTTATTCTTGCAACAAATATGAGCCCTTGAATAGCTATAAGGAAGAAAAAGCAGGTCCTAATTCCACAAATATCATATGCCATGAGAGAACTAGACAAAAAACAAAATAATTTTAGATAGCAACAACTATTATATAGGAAATAAAACAGGGCAATGTGATATTATGTGGCTGAGTGACCAGAGAAGACTTCTATAAGAAAGTAATATTCATGCTGTAACCTAAATATGAAAGAATTAACACTCAAGGATCTAACGGAGGTATTATAGGCTGACAAATCAGGAAATAGTAAAATCTGAGATGGACGCGATCTTTCAGGGGAAAAGGAATGACAGGCTCAACACAGAGAATGATGGGAGATTTTCAGAGAAACTACCAGGGGCTGGGCATATAGGAGCCTTGTAGACCATATCAAACAAAACGAGAGTTTAAACTGCTACTATACACAGAATTATTTCTAGGTAGAATAGAGGGAATACAAGGAGAACATAAGAGAGGATTTGAAATACGTTTTTGGGAAGACCAATCCCTCAGCATCTTAATCACTGTCTAGAACATAATTCATAAATGCATTTTGTGCTTTACCTCATATGTATAATGCTACATTTTTTACTGTTTTCTGATCTAAATCAGCTAACAGTCCAATGAATGAAGGCAAGAAATGCTGTTTTCTCATAAAAATAAAATTCCTGTTTCTGAAAGAAAATTCAGTTAATATATGCTCCTAACAAACCACCAAGGAGAAACAGACTAATGAAAACTATAATGCCCCAGAAAAATAGTACAAGTTCATAGAACTAGATTGTAATATAAGCATGCTAAGAAAGTACTATAAAATAAAGCTTGAAAGTATGTGGAAATAGTAAGAAGTATTTGGCTAATTTCTCTGATCAAGTTTACCTTTATACAAAAACAGTATTCTATAAGAAACACAATAATAAGACTAAAATATCACTAGCTACAATGAAATTAGTAAATGTTATAAAGTCTCATTCAGGATTTGGTTAAGTGACTATACAGTTTAACCTAGAAATATATCAATGTACCAAATAAGAGTGTAAGCTATCACAAAACAAAGGTGCATAAATTTAGTGAACTAAAATTTACTTCCAAATGTAATCCATAAATCAATCCCTAAAGAGATTAAAGACTAGAAGACTAAAAGATAAAGATAACTGGATTTATTCAAATTGTAGTTTTAGTGGAATATCTCTATACAGTAAGTAAGTATACAAGTATCTTTTTTATTTTTTTAAAATGTGGTGCTGGGGACCAAATCCGGTGCCTTGTGCACACTAAGCAGGCAGTCTCCCATTCTACCACTGAGCCTCCCAGTCCCTGCTGCTGTCCTTTCTTAAATCAATTAACTCTGTTCACATAAATGTAACATTTTATATTATTAACATAATTTATTTCTGAAAAGCTCATTAAAATTAGTATTAAAAAATTAGCATTAACTTTTGTTCAAGAAAAGTATCAGAAATAATTTTCATTTCTAATTCATTTGCATGGTTACTATGCTGGTAAAAACTGTAAGAGCTAACGAAATTAAAGGAATGACTAGAAGACTAAATATACAAAGAAGCCTACATTCTTAAAATGAATTTAAAGTTGTTTTAAAATACATACATACACATACAGAATAAAGATGTTTTGTATAAAGCTTACATCATCTCCAGCAATGTAAAATGACAAAGTCTGGCTCCCAAGATTAAAATCAATCCAAAAGTCTTCAAGTTTTTCATCTGATGGTATATGCAGCTAAGAAAATAAACATGTAAAACTACTATATAGTATGCTTATAAAAATAACAAAATTATGTTGAGGTTATACTAATAGCCAATTTTTAAAATCATAATTGACTTCATTTTTAATACTAAAATCCAGACACTATATTCTGTAAGATAGTGTTTCTTCTATCTGTTTTAGAAGAAAACAAGTATAGCTAGGTAAAGAGAGCCAACAAGTAGAACATTTAGATAAGTTTAGAAATAATCTAAGGAAATGATATTTCAATACCTTATACAGAAACCAGCTAGCTTCAAGAAATCACAAATATTCCAAGTGCTAACAAAGTTTTAAAATACTAATGCAAATCAAATATATTAATGAGTGGTAAATCAACAATGGAATTCAGAGGACAAAATCTAAAGAGCTACAATCTTTATATTCCAAGTACTCTTGGTTATAAATATGCTGATTAATAGAATTTTTACTGGTTTTACTGGCATATACAGCATACTAGGTCAGTTGTATCTGTGATATAATTATAACCATTTTTGTGTTTTTATCAATTGTCACCTACAATTTGTCTTTGCATCAAAATTCGTCCTGTAACTAAAACGTTAAAACTTAAACTTACCTCATATTTATCAAGAAATGCTGACAAACAAGGAAATGTAAAGACCCTGAAATACAAAGTAGTTTAAAAGATTAATAAGCCTTCACAGTATAATCTTGTTTAGTCATTAAAAAATCATGCCTACAATCAAAGAGAAATTGAGCATCAGTCATAATTTTTTAAAATAAATCATTTTATTTTTTAAAAGTGTTTAATGAAAATATCTTTAGGTAGAGAAAGGTGTATTATTTTAAGGGCACTATATAACCTATCGTTTTGACTAAAATGGTTAAACCAAACTTTGTGTGTAGTATCAAATGTGAGCAGATATCACTTATACTCTTAATACAATGGAAATTTCTATAGAAACTGGAAAAAGAATAAAATGAAGAGCTCCAATAAAAATGGCTAAATTCTTAGAATTATTTCACGGTCAGATACTATTTCAAGGTATTTCATTTAATCTTCACAACAAACATAGGAGGTAGATATTATTAGTGTTCTTACAGTATAGCTAAGGAAACAGAGACAAGTAAGGTTTAAAATTTTGCTCATAGGATAGGATAATTTATTATTCAAATCCAGTCCATATGACTCCTTGTACTTAACGTCCTACCTTTCCTTAGTAAGCAAAATAAATGTAAACTCATTCATCCAGAACATCTATTATATACCCTTTCATGCTTATTTCTAAGGTTAGTTAACCTCAGAAAAACCCTACTTATAGTGTGCTAATTATAAAGGAAGACAACTTGTCTGGTATATATTTTCATTCCAGTATGTAAATGGAGGTAGTTCAAGAAATACATGTGTATAGTTTTTATAATTTGTCAAATACTAATGTATATGCAATTCTGAGTACAGTAAATCAAATTTGGATGTTCAAAACTATTTTGCATTAAATGAAAATATATTTTTCCTCTACAGAATGCAAAGCAAAATAAGTTCACAAGTAGCTTATTTCAGAATACAAGTGTAGTAATTTATTAAATGATGTTATATAAAATATTGTTTTAAGTTAAATATTCAAGCATACTTTACACTCTAAGACAGCAGAATAATTGTACTTGTAAGAGTTCAACACTGGGTGCTTTAAGCTGTGTTTATTAGTAAATGGTTATATGTTTACCTTCTCTTATCTCCCAGCATACCATTTACAAGGTTGAGAAATATCCTGCAATCCTAATTTTAAAAAGAAAGACTTTAAATTAAATAATAAAGTCAATTTAAAAATCTGTTAATTTCTGTTATTTTTATACTACTTACTGTTTCAAATTCACAGTCTCTAATTTCTTTAAATGCATTAGCAATAAAATCCATTGAAAACCACTGACGTGACAGTTGCTGTCTCTGTTTTTCTGTGGTCATTCTACATAAAGCTTCCACAAAGCCTACCTGCAAGTCATAATCTATTAAAAAATTATTAATGATGTATGATTTGAAATTATGAAAATGTATAAAAGTCCACACATTTTTATGAGGTATTAAAACACAACTAAGCAAATACTTATCTTTTATTATTTTCTTCATATGAATTAGAAACATCATTATAGGACTTACTCCATACCAAATAATAAACAAGTTTACTAATAGAAAAAATTGAAATTTAAAATAAAATTTAAAAGAAATTCTTAAATATTCAAAGTCTCTACTCATTATTAGAGATGAAATTTGCAAAGTAACTCACACATACACCATATAATGTTTACATTCCTTTTGTACAACATGAGGTTTACAGTTATCTCAGGCTACTTTAAATCATGCTTTATTCTACACATAAATCAGTGCATCAAAATTTTCTCATAAAAAACCTAGGAAAGAACATTTCAGTTCTTCTAGTAAACACGTTTAAAAAAGCCTGCCAATCCTAAGGATATTAGACACCCTAGTTTCATAAAATAACATATTATAGCACAGGAATATCATAGAACAAGTCAGCTCTATTTGAAAATTAAGTTAATATTTATAAACCATTAGGAAAAATTGTATTTATCTAACTTCTATAGTCATGACAAATTATTTTGTCCCAAATATACTTTACACATTTATTTATATTAAAGTAATTTAAAAATTGACTGTACTCAACAATTTAATTCCTTCAAGTAATCTCATCAGAGTGCAATGCTAATATCATTTTTATTAAAGGGATATTAAACACTAGTCATAAATCTGAAATAATTCCAAATCTTGAAAAAAGATACACTTACCTCCAGCATCTAAAATCTTTTCTCCCATACTACTCCTGTAAATTAAAGTAACAGATTTTATATTGAACTAGTATCAATTAAATAGAAAGCCCATGAGTTTAGGTTGGGATGAGTCACTGAAATTAACAACTAGCTAGTGTAACTAACTTTTGCAGAAATGTATAATTATATTAAAAAGCAAAGCTTATAAGTTTCAATTATTTAATGCATATTCATGGTTGTCTTTTTAAACATTCTTTAAATTCCTGACTTAAGCAACTAATAAAATACAGTACAAATTTATTACATGAGAGTTAACATTTCTTGGTTAGAAAATATTTTCCTGGCATCTTGAGACAGGTTGTCAAGCATAGCATTCATTTTTTTTAAAGTCTAGAAAAGAAAAAAATAAGATAATTAATTTTATATTCAGTAAAACATTAAGTATTTAGGCACATACGCATTTTATGCAGGGAATGGTTTGGGGTGTAGGAAAAGATATAAAGTATATATTCTTTGCATATATGTAAAAGCAGTCAATATTAACTAGCATAAACTAAAAGATCAAAAATAGAACATAACTCTTATACTTAAAACTTTGCAAAATGAGACATTTATTATTATTCTACTTTAAGATCTACGGAGGCCAAAAAGTTATTTTATTTTTATTCTTAAATTTATATGCATATACATATATGCAAGAATGTAGGTTATTTCTGACATTAAATACTTAATAATCCCTAATATCTGGATAGTTGTAATTTATTTTTATGAGTTCTAGGCATACACAGACACATATGGTTATGAATTTCAAATAGGAAATATGGTCTTATAATGAATTATTAAGACAATAGAAATACATTCCAAAATTTAATTTAGTCTAAGATAAAAATAACTTAATTTAGTGAGTTACTATCGCATTTGTTTCACTTTCTTATTTTTAGGTTTTTAAAAGACAGTCAAATGATTTTTACCTCCTGCTGAAAACAAATATTCACTCTTGAATCAATAACCAAGGCACAAATTCGAGGTATGAAACTTTCCACTATTTGCCTTTTACCTGAATAAAAGTGTTAAATTAGTAATACATGTTAATTACAAATCCTTTTGAAAGACAGTCTTTTTCTTAGTCCAAGGAATGGCTATACTAATTTACTTCTGAATAAAGCCAAATGGCCAGAGCATCAGTAAACATAAGATAAACCCAGATCCAGCTTCTCATTTCAGGCACATAAGGAAATATAGTTCAAAACTGTTTCTATTTTGAGGCTTTTTGGAAAACTGGCATCACTAATTTTTACTCATAGCTCAAACTTATTTTTTTGCGGGGGATGGTGGGGGGTACCAGGGATCAAACTCCGGACCTTGTTCTTGCGAGGCAGGCAGTGGCACCACTGGGCTAAAATTCCCCAGCCCTCCTCAAATATTCTTGTACTTAAAAAGACTGTTAACACACCTTGTCTTTGTGAGTATGTAAATGATCTGAGCTATAACCCATTTCAAAAGATGACACTTTATCAATACTGAATATATTCAGAGACAGAGGAAGTTTTACATGCTCTTTCATAATGCACTTTTTTT